GCAAGCCCAATTATTTATTTCCCCACTCTTGTCACAGTCAACACAAATACCGTCTGGGCTGTTTCAGGTGTCGTGTCTTAATATGCATCTTAATACATTGTATAAAGTCTTTAACAAGAGAAGCGTGTTTCTCTCAGCCGTCTCTTGTTTGACATACTTTCTGTTCGGTGGCCCACAGATACACAAAATGGAAACTGTTTTCCAAACAATAGGCTTTGCTATTGTTTACATTTTTTTCTTCATTAGTTCTCCAGTTGGCCTCTTTCAGCCTACCAAACTGTAAGTCCTGAATGTCAGCAGTGAGAAAGTGCAATGTAATGGATTCGCTGTTATGCCAAAATAAAATATATGATGTCGGTCGTTCTTCTGTTGTGTAGTTCTCAGCTCTTTTCTTCAGATACTTCTGATAAATTCTATATTTGGCAACAGATGTTGTGAAAGGAAGTGATAAAGTGATATAAAAAAGGCAACGTTTTATGACATCATGTGCAATCAAGTGCAATGGCGCTAAGTTTTACAACCTGAACTACATGAGTTTACACATGTGGCCATGTGGTTTGGTGGAAAAAAACTATACAGCATTAAGGAAAAATCACATATGTGTCAACATGGCCATTTACGTGAAGATGTGCTATCAACCAGCCACTGTAGAGAAGAATCAAGCTGCTTGTGAAGTGTGTCAGATTATTAATAGAGCGGAACACTAGCTGCCAGTAAAATGCTCAGGGGGGACTTCTGAGACTTTATCTCCAAAATATTGATGTATGCTAAGTTGGCTAATTCCTGCGTGTTGTACACAGGAAATCTCTCTGCACTAGGAATCTGTTTTTCTGTCGTTAGTGTTAAAAATGACAATTTAATGTTTTGTTGTTGTTTTATTTACTTGAAATATCAGTTTCAAAATCATTCTGATGGTACACTGACTTCTAATAAGGCGAATACATTCTCTTTCTTTCCAACACTCCCCCTAAACATCTGTTGGGGAATAAGTTTGATGAGTGGATACGAAATTCCGGCAGCAACAAACGCACGTGTAGCTATCTACTGTAATTACAAGTGATATATTTACAATAGTGAATTCCACTCACTTAACTGTAGGCTCCAAAGTCGCAAAAATATACAAAACTACGCATAGTTGCTTTAGGACAGGGGTGACAAACTCAATTCCTGGAGGGCCGGAGCCCCGCAGAGTTTTGTTCCAACCCTGCTCCAACACACATACCATTTTCGAATAAGCCTGAAGGACTTGATTAGTTGTATCAAGTGTGTTTGATTTGGGTTGAATCTAAACTCTGCAGGGCTCCGGCCCTCCAGGAATTGAGTTTGACACCCCTGCTTTAGGACATTACTCCTATAATGATAACACAGTAAGTAGTCTTAAATGCAATAAGCATCCTTAAATAAACAGAAGTGTAATAGTTTTCAGACGTTTATGTTCATATAAGAAAAAGAGTAACACGGGAGAATAAACCGGGTCTTTTCAAAAAAAGAAAAATATGCAAATTCATCTTTAAGCTGCATTGCCTGTGTTTATTTATAGATATGTTCAACAGCACGTGCCTTGCCAGCATTTACTTTTACATTTCAACATCTGTGTGACTGAAGTCAGGACTTCATGCTCCCTCATTCAACAGTGTACTGCAGCAGAACATTGTTTATGTCAAATATGTGTTTTATTAATCAATGTGATTAATAAACAACAAAAATGTAAATATTCATAACATAAATGTAATATATGCTTCTATGATGTAGGGAAATATTAAGGAAATTAATAATCAACAATTAACTATTTACAAGTTCTGCCTGACGCTCACATATCATGGAAAATCCATCAATGGTGGAAAAAGACACTGTCGCGGAAGAAGCCCTCACTACCATGTGATCAGTATCAAACACCTCATAGCCCTCCTGAGGTGAGGGGAGCGGGGTGGTTTGAGGACAGGAGGTGCAAGATGACCGCTGCAGGGTTCGTCTGCTGTCCTGCTGATGTCATGGCGTCTGCTGGGGGTCCTGGACGAGACAGAGGGTCAGTGAAATGATGCTTTCCCAGTTGACTGGACTACTGTGGGTCTAGAGGGATGGGGCAAGAGAGGCAGGATGTGGTTGAATTTCCCATGTTCCCATCCCCTAAGTTAATAACCCCTTGTAAGAGCAACACCAAAGATGGGGGAACAACTCAAGATGTGCTTGTGCTGATGGGAAGTAACCACAGACTAAGCACCTCGTCATCTGGCTGAACTTCACAGTTTAGATCATGTCAGAAAATTCCAGTTCTCACTGGATTCACTGTCCCAAATGTTCACTGGATTCAAGCCTGGACAACATTACATTGGCATTATTAACACGAAATGATTTATGTTAAATTAAATAATATATCAGTATATTTACAAGTATATATTAGTATAGTGTATATATTAATAATTACATGTATTAATATTCATGTATAATTGTAAAAAATAAATAAATATCCATAAATAGTGGCCTCTCCACACAATCAAAAATGAGAATCCTCATTATATTTTGTTTACATGCATTTTTGCTCAGTATTCCTTTATTTACTTTTCATGTGTGTTCTAAAATTAAACCAGGACAACATAATCTGTTCGGTCCCGCCAAAATACACACTACAACATCAACTCAATTTACAGATCTACCTCTCAGTCTTGACCCTCAGACTGTATGAACTCTACGACCTGCTCAGTGACCTGCTATGTATGATATTGTTGTAATCATCTTGTTCACTGGATCTCACTGGAGGAGGCTTTGAGTCTTCATGAGGAGCATCTCCAATTACAAACTGAATCTAGTGTGCTCTACTGCACTGGAGTGCTTTCCCACAGTACTGAACCTGAGATTAACTTGGTCAAATAAACGCAGAAGGGTAAAAGAATACCAAGCCCATTCCAACAAAATAGACTAATATTTCATTAATAATAATAATAATAATAATAACATTTCTAAGAAGAAATCACATGCATCTTACAGGCATCTTATATGCCAACTAAAATATGTCATTTAAAATGTAATATTTTATGTAGATCTTTTCTCTTTTTCAAAAATAAATGGATAAATAAATAAAATACTAGCCACATATTAAAGTCTATTGCTATTGAACATTCCCACCATTATTGTCAAGAGGGAAAAAAATCTACTTTTATAGATATTTTGTTTGGCCTTTTTAAGTATAATACACTGTATTTAAAAAAATATGTAATTTTACTGAATTTTTCTGTATTTTTTATTTTTTTTTTACCGTTTTTTTTCCATATTTTTGAAATTACAGAAGTAGACCTTAAAATAACAGGCCAAACCTGTAACTGAATAACCCTAAATTTACGTTTTTTTTTAAATTATTTTTGTTTAAATGTAATTCAATGTAATTGTTTAAATGTGTTGGTTCAAACACATTTGCATCAGAATGCACTTGTAGTTGCAGTCATTTTAATCACCTCTAAATTAATGCACTGCCTTCACTGAAGCACACACAGGCACACAGAAACAGGATCACAGAAACTGATTCCACTGCTTACATTGATGCTTTTCAATACTAATATTGCTTTGGATTGTATCATTTAAAGATGTTTAAGATTACATTTATATTTTATATTATATTATATTATATTATATTATATTATATTATATTATATTATATTATATTATATTATATTATATTATATTATATTATATTATATTATATTATATTATATTATATTATATTATATTATATTATATTATATTATATTATATTATATTATATTATATTATATTATATTATATTATATTATATTATATTATATTATATTATATTATATTATATTATATTATATTACATGATATTATGTTCGTTGTGGTGTTTCTGTGAAAAACTCGAAAAGATCATGTATAAGGGCTACACAGAAATGAGGCACGTTATGCACATTATATAGCAGGTTGCAAGTCTCAATTTAGAAGTTACAGTGTTTTTAAATGTCATGTTTGCTGGCAGTCATCGTCTGTGTCACTGTGTGAGCCACTACAGGGATCCTTTACATGTGAACCTTTTGTGAACTGTCAAGAAAGTTAATTGATTTGATAGATATTATGTCATATGAAATCTCACATTTCAAAAAGAGAGGTTAAGTTGTCTTTAAATGTGGTCACCTAAAAAGTAAGGTCAAATCAGATCAATTGTTTGTGCATTTGACTTTGAACTATTTTTATATTTGGATTCAATAGGAATTTGAATCCAAATGCCTTAGATGTTCAGTGTGATGTGTATTCAGTGATGTGACCAGATACCTTGATTGTCAAAGCCATAGGATGTCTGTGTGGTGAGCTTTTAAATTCTGTGTTATTTGCTTTACATTTCCATGTGTTCAAGTTGAACCTGAATAGAGTATAATTAAACCAGGAGATGGACTTCCATTGTACATTTAATCTATGTGATAAAATGTTTATGGTATGAAAATTACAGCAAATAATACTGGTTTTGGAAAGGTGAAATTACTCAGTATGCATCCTGCTATATTGACGACACATTGTGATACGATATTTAATGCCCATTCTGTAAAAATTGTGCACAAAAATGTGTAATATTTCAATGTTAAGTAATAAATGTGATTGAGCAGCATTATGATCTTTTTAATATTAAAATCACAGGAACAAACTCTATTGTAATTATGGAAAATGTACTGTATTTTTACAAGATGGATATTTTCCGTTATTTCACTATTGTTTTCTGGCGCCCCAGCTGCCGGAATATTTCCGGGGGGGTTTTTTTGTTTGTTTCTTTACAGTGTATAATGTCACAATGGGAACTTGCTAATGAACGGCCTATTCAGCATAATAAACAGTTTTAAATATTGATGTTTATTGCGAAGTTTAACTAAATTGGTTTAAGTTTCTTCACAAACCTGGCGTCTGTCCCATAGGGTCTGTCCATTGACAGTATTGCAGTATTGCCGGATAGAAAAGCTTTATAAGTGCGCCCTCTGCTGTCGTATATATGTAAACGACAGCTAGAAGTGCTTCCGGATCAAAGTTGATTCCCTTACATCCACATGTGATTCACATGTTTACATGGGCATTTATATTCGGAGTAAAATATTGGTGACACTGACATCGGAATACATTTATTACAGACTGTTATAGTAAAAGAGCGCCGATATGTCGGACAGTGAAGATGAAGCTTGTGAACGGACTTCGGCAGCAAAGAAGAGCGGTGGGTGCTAAGTAGCTAACACTGTTCAGTCTCTTCACTACATACAGTAAACTCAAATATGTCCAATGCCTAGAAAGTATCTAACTTTATTTTCTACCCCCAGTTTCAAAATACCAATGTCCGGGTGACTTTGTGCCCATGTCGTATGGTTCCTCTGTAAGCGCCTTATGGGACGAAGATGAAAAGAATGAATTATGGCTCATCAAAGCTCCAGCTCGTTTTGATCCTAAATGGTACAAAATACTCTGGAAATAGCTTATTGTTTTAAATAACATATTGGGATTAATGTACGGCCTTGCTAAAATGATTTCTGTCATAATTTGGGACCAATCCTGAGGAGGTCACACATAATAATAAATATTATTAATATTAAATTAATGTAATAAAAATGTTTATTGTTTAATACAATTAAATTGTATTTTTATGCAAGTAGTAGCAAGTGATATTTAATTATACTTAAAATAATAATAGAAATAGAAAATCTACAGGAGTTCTGTAAATTCCAGCAGTCCTGTACAATATCACTGTAATAATAATATATTTCTTAATAACAGAAAATCTATTAGTTGTCCTTTAAATCCCTTAAGAATTTTGGTTTGGTTTTTATTTATTTTTTAAAATATTGACAAGGATCCCATGGTCATGGAAAATCTGGAAATATTACCGTTTTGAAATATCAAAATTGTGATTGTCTTAAAAGTCACGGAACACTCTACTGTGAATATACATTTTTCTAGTCATGCTGTGCTCTGAAATATTGCTTTAGGTAGATATTGTTATTTGTAAATGTACATTTGTAGAATGAATGAAAACATGGCAACATTGTAATTTATGTCTGTCCATTGAGGGTAACTGCCTGTACGTTACTGGCTAAATGGTTTGAATGTATTAAATGTACTGCAAGAAATCATTGCTAAAATTAGAATGAAAAACAAAACCCTGTATTAAATATTGCATAAATGAAATTGTGGTTTATCAATTTAATAGTCATTGTTTTGTGTCCTTTGCAGCTTTGAAAAGCTCAAAGTTCCCTTATCAGGACTGGAAATGGTCCAGTCTTGTGGCACACCTCAGATCTACAGCGTCCTCAGTAGCAGGACAGCACCATCAGACCTCCATCTGCTCATTTCCAAAGGGAAGCCTTTTCTCTGTTCCTCTGGCTTCAGTGGTGTCCTCAAGATCTCAGAGAGCTACGGAAATTGCAGTGAGAATCAAGGTCCCGTTCCCATCCCGGCCACTCCAGCTCCATCCATCCCAGCTGGTCTGAAGCAACGTTTCCAGCCTTTTGGTAGTTCCATTGCAGCTCACAGGCAAGATGAAGTCACCGTAGTCTCTCCAACTGCTCCCAAGAGAACCAGTCAGGATCCGTTTGAGGGCGAGGAGCGGAAAAAGAAGAAAAAGAAAAAGAAAGACAAGAGGCAAGAGGACAGTGACACAGTTTTTATCAAGGAAGAACAGACACAGATTGACTGTGATCAGTTAGAGTTATCTGAGCTTATGGAGGAAGAACCAATGGAGGAAAGGAGGAGGAGGAAGAAGAAAAACGTGAAGAAAGAGAAGGAAAGACATAGTGAAGACATAAGTGATGCAAGTTTAATATCCAAAACAGAGCCACTGGATCCTTCTTATGATTACATTGACACACCAGGGAAGACCAAAAAGAAGAAAAAGAAAAGTAGTCGACACGAGTAGACTGTCATAAGAAATGCTTTATCAATTTGTCATGTTCACAAATGCTTACTGTAATATTTAACTGTCAAATATAATGGAGAAACTGTCTGTCATAAAGTAATTCAAGAGTTCTGTAAAGCATTCATAATTACCTTATGCATTGATTTATTCTTCTGCTTAAAACAAAAATATATATATTTTTTTTTTTTTTTGGTGTGTGTGTGTGTTTTACTGTCATTCAAGCAACTGCACATCACAGAGATGCTATTTTATGTAATAGACCTTAATCATGAAATTTTCACAACTCTTTGAACTGTTTAATTGAGTTTTTGTCTACTGAAAGTTTTTTTTTTCCCTTCCCAGAAAGACATCAGGTCAGCTGAACAATCGGTATGTTATTAAACAACAGTACAATCCATTGAACGCACTGCACTTTTGTCCCTCGCATCCTCGTTTTTATTCCCGTTAAAAAATTAAATATGGCGCTTCTCTAAGGTCTATACAGGTATTAAATGAAAATTCACATTCACCTTTATGTCGTTCCAAACTTGAATGATTTTATTCCGTGGAACACTAAATAATATATGTTTAGGATTTGACTTTCATTGTGAAGGCGTTTTTCAAAATATTTTCTTTTTGTGTTCTACAAAAAGAATGGCAATTTTAACTTTTAGCTGAACTTTCTCTAAACACTGCGTTTCTGCAGTACTTGCTGTTCGCCGGTAGGTGGCGTGAGATCTCCCTCTGCCGGAGAGAACGCTGAAGGGCCGCCGCTTGTTCTGCACTGAGGTATGGTCGTGTTTTCTAATAAGCACCGGCACGTTTACCGCCTGCAAATACGGTTTCTTGGCCCCTCCCACTGCGCAAATGCAGGTAAAGCTCAACATTCCAAGTCCAATGGGATCACACGAGAGGAATTTCACACAGGCGCTGCTTACATCTGCGTTGATCAGGTATTTACGCTGCACCTGCTGATACTCTCAGTGAGAACTTTTTGTGAATTAAACATGATATATATCATCACATTGTATATATATATATATATATATATATACGTGTGTGTGTGTGTGTGCGCGCGCGCAGTAAAGAACTTCAAATGCAATTATTATTTTATGTGGACCTGTTTCCAACACCCACACTTTGCACCGTTTGGCATTTATTTTCTGAGTTTGAGTCACAGAGACAAGTGATTTGTCACCACCTGTGATTTTATCACCGAGGCGGGGACGGTAATCACGTTTGTCTTGTTTTTTTTTCTTTCCCATATAAACTAATCAATAATATTTTTCCCGCGTTATGCCATAGGGGTTATGAGATGCTTGAACATTGCTGAGTGTCTGGTGAAGCAGATAAATAACTGAATGCAGTCTGAAGTTTGGAAGCAACGTGCCCAGACTGCAAAGCAAGGCACGGGGTCCTATGCACCCTAAACTGATGCAAACGATAAGGGTCGGGTGGGGGACGGGAAAGTGGGGTAGTGATTTTTTTTTTTTGAGCCAATCTCGTTTATGCACACCCTCCCCCTTTTCACTGCAGCAATTCTTGTCTCTCTCACTCTTCAGCGTGCTCCATGCGGCCTGCAGCATTTGGGGAGGGGGGTCGGGGGAGTTACCATAGCAACGCGGACTTGCCAAGGACTACGGAGCCGCGCGTGGCGTTCGGAATGGGTTTCGGCACACATCGATAGATACCTTCCCCAAATTAGAGACGACAGACAAAGCACCAGTGTCCACTTGAATACACAACAATTTCTTCACATCAAGACGCAGTAGTCAATATTTCTGCTTGATAAGTCCTATTGAAGTGTTTGTTTGGGATGAATTACTGCACCAGAAACTTGTTTGCATACTAATGCGTTGACATGACTCACTCACTTCAAAGCAGTCGATTCCAAAATGTGTCATTGAGCCTCCTCTGCAGCAGCAAGGAATTCAGGGAGCTTTTCAGTGCAGTTTCACCTTATAAGCCTCTCATTTACATTTCAATATAGATGGTGTCAGAAATATAGGATTGTTTATTTATTTATTTTGTGTTTGATTGTATTGATGAAGCCTGCAAAGAATGCAGTTGGATTTGGCTCCTGCATTGCATTAAAAAAAATAGAATAGAACAAGTGTGATTCTACTGTTGCAATGTGCACACCCAAATCAAGTCAGACATATGTTATAAAAGCAGCAGGTCTTTCAGCTGGTTGCCATGACAACCACAATGCCATTTTCCCCTCATTGTTTCCTTACCCACCTCTATAAACGTGTTCATATCATGAGAGCACTCAGTGACTCGGTGTCTGTCACTGACCAAGATGTGCTGCCTGAAATATTTTTTTTAATTTTATACAAAATAAATAAATTGATTAATTAATTAAAACAGCCTTTGAAAACAACTTTTGGATGGGATGATAAAGGCAATAGTGGAGATCGGCCAAACTCAACAGATGCCTGAGCTCATTGTGCCCTACAAATAAATATTTAAGTTGTGTGTTTATATATATATATATATATATATATATAATTAGTAATTATTATTATTACTTTCTTTGCTTTTATCAAGCATCTACTGCTAC